GTAAAAGTAGCTCACTAAACCTTCACTTATACACCAGCATGCATTTTAACTTCAAATTTCAACGTCATATTCTCATATCCTCATATCAACACATAATGTTGATCTGTTTGAATAATTATGTATTGTTGTATTATACTTTTTAATCTCTCCAGCATTTTCTCAAGGTAGACTCCTTCCACACTTCTGAATGAGCTCTGCGGGACTACGGGGGGGGGGGGGGACAAATATGGGACAGCATGGTGAGAGGGGGAGCAGAGTCTTCTTCCAAGTTACAAGTTGTTCCTCTGACGGAGATTAAAAAGGACCTCCTGCACACTGTTCTGACCTGCAGCAGGCCTGAAAGCGCTCAGCCTCAGTGTGAATACAAACTCCTGACAGACGAGGGACCGAAGACTGAACAACTGAGTGGGTTTATACAAAATCATACATATACATAAATGTTGTTAAAATACCATTGACGGCTGCTACAGTGGTAATACAGTGTCATGTTACGCCAATGATACTCAGCTGTACCGGTCTATTAAGGCTGATGACACTGACAAACATGTTTTTCACATCTGTCTGACTGCCAATAAGAACTGGAGTAATGACATGTTTAGATAAACCCTGATACAACAGAAATCCTCATAACTGCATCAGCTAGCATCGCATCAGCTAGCATAGCATGGGCCAGCAGAGCTTTCATGTTCGTAAGTCCGTTCGATCTTTTTGTTGAGCTGTGGCGTTAAACCTCAGAACTGTCATATTTTATCAGGTTATGTTTTCTGATCAACACTTTAAGCCATTTTAAACAAATGGCAAGCTTTTGTATCTAACTGGTTTACTGCAGATCCCTCTTTATCTGCCTCAGAAAGTCTGCATAGATCTTCTAAACACTGACCTCGGTCCAGCAGGTCAGATTAAATAACATTAATTTATTTTTTTATTAAACGTTATTTAGCCAGGTTGGCCCCAATGAGATTAAGAACGTCTTTTTTTAAAAGAGAACCATCTAAGTCAAATCTGATAGTCAGGAGTTCAAGAAGTCAAGCTAAAAACATTGACATCATATAGAATCTGCTACTATGTCTTTCATTTTAGATTTACATTTAAGGACACCAGCTGCTTGAGTTTTAAGTCGTTCTGCAACCGATTCCAGGCTGAGGGTGCAGAATACCCATAAGCCCGTTTCCCAATTTCTGCTCCAGCGTTTGGACCAGAGAGCACAAAGGAGTCCTAAGAACACAAAGAATACTGTCAGGTACTTTCTCTGCATGATAAAAACACAAAGATAGTTTGTTTTTAGATTGTTTTTCTGTTGTTTTTTGTTCCTTTCATGATCAAAATTGTTGAAGTATTATAATGTGAAGCACTTGAAATGGCATGTATGCATTATTAACATAATCATACTATACACTAACTACTAAAACTGCTGCTGTTCACTGTGCCTATGTTTATTTTGTCTGTGACTGGAATAACTCCCAGACAACTTTTATACCTCAACTAACCAGCTAACAACTGTAAAAGTACAAAAGTAGTTTATAGTACTACTTTAATCCTTATATACGTGTTTTTTATTTTTATTTTAATGATCGAATGATATCATCAAAAGCAGCAGAGCATTGAAAAAAAACTGCAGCTCTTCAGACATTTTTTAACCAAAAGCTGCAGTGTGCGAGAGAGAGAGAGAGAGAGAGAGAGAGAGAGAGAGAGAGAGAGAGAGAGAGAGAGCACTGTAAATTGTACAAAAATATTGGCATCTTGCTTGTGTACAGAGGTTTCCATGCAATGTCTTATCATTTAAAATCAGAAATGACCCACTTTGGAGTGCCTCGGGCTTCTATTTTTCACACAGTATCAATGTTGTTTGATTTTTACAAGAATATTTTTATTTTTATTTTTTTTACAAGAAAATTCTGGTATCATAACAACCCTATGCTCTGTTGGATTAGGTCAATTAGCTGTTTTTGCGGTAATTAAGAAAAAAGATAGAGTCAGTAGGATTAAACAAATGTAATGTTGCTCAGTTATCACCTATGGGCCTCCATACCTGTGTGGTACCTGTGACTGTCTGCAGAGACCCTGTCCTCTGACTGGTTTTTCATGGTTTGTTTTGTGTTGTTTGACTCTGGACCATTCTGGGCGGGGAGCTGGTGTTTTCTCTGCTCTCTGCCAGTCGATGACAGCGCTCAGGTGAGTTTAGCAGTGGATACAATTCTGCAATTGGACACGATTCAAACTAGCAAATATGACAGACGTGTATTAAAAAAAATAAAATAGCGAAGGGGAAACATCAAGGGGACAGTCCATAGGTACGAGCAGTAAACACACACTACGTCCTGCAGTGAGTGCTTGATGTGTGTTGATGAGCCCAGGAGGAGGGGCTGAGTTTGAACCTTTTGCTTACAAGCTGCAACAAACAACGTTATACTGACTCCACCTTCAAGGAAGATTTCTGACAAATGAAAGTTTCAAAAAAATAAAGTCTTTACAACAATGCGTGATAATAGAGTTTTTCTCAGACTTTCAGATTAACAGACAAAAAATATACTTTATATGCGACATTTGTTAAAAATGCAGAATATGGCATCATACCTCAGATATTTCTTTCCTCTCTGTGCCACTGACATCTTCCCATGTGTTCCCATCAGGATTGTTATTTAAGTTAAATGTTTTTGTTTTTTTAAATCAATGACTCTCGCCTCTTTCCTACTAATGTTTATTTTAGAATCTCTGTTACATTAAGACTAAAGTGTTTGACACTTCAGACAAAAATAATTATTTGTTTTAGCCACATTTGAGTCATTTTTACCTTTAATAGTTAATCAAATTAAATCCCAATTGTATCATTATAGCAAAATAAGTATTTACATTAAACACATAAATATTGGTTGTAACTAAATGATGCTGTCTCACTCAGCATGTGAACATTTGACTTGTTGAATGGAGGCCTGTGTGTAATACAGCCATGATCTAATACAGTTATGATGCAGACACATGAAGCTCAGTCGGCTATCAGACACCCTCCAAGTTTCAGTTTTAACAGTATTTTTCAGCCCTGGTTCAAACAGATGAAAACACTGAGAGTTTGGTGAGGGTACTTTTAGTTCCACCCTTCATATTAGAAAAGAGGAGCTGCAGATGTTCCTCACAGGGGAAGACTTTTGAGATGACTTCTATTTTACTGCTATACAGACCTTAAACACTCGATGCTTAGTCAGGCTATTGTTAGCATGTTAACGCTTGTTATCGCGTCCGATCAAGCTCTCTCTGTTGCTCTGCTACACACACACACACACACACACACACACACACACACACACACACACACACACACACACACACACACACACACACACACACACACACACACACACACACACACACACACACACACACACACACACACACACACACACACACACACACACACACACTTGCCCCTCCTGCTTTCTGCCTGGCAGCACACACACACACACACACACCACTCCTCTTTCCTGCTTAAATTTTGACGGACAGGTTTGACGCCCAGTGAAGGAAAATACCTCGTCTCATTAACAAAAACTAAACAAATATTATAACAAAGTTCTATCTTTAGCAAATCGTAACAAGAGAACCTGCTCAAGAAGACGACATACTTTATAATCTCTGAGGGGAAATTCAGTTAACAAGAGTCTGCTGTGATTATCAACATACATGTTCAGATGGATCTGCGTTGGCCTCCAAAGTTCAATGTTAGATCACGTTCACATTTTTAAAAGGTTAATAAATGTAACTCAAATTAAAGCACAAATTGTCATTGAACATTTTTTGTCTTTTAGTGAAGTTAGGTTAACGGGAAATCTGCTTTGATTTTTATTTCCCCTGATTTTCACTTTAAAGTCCCTTTGTGTCACTTTTTATTTCATCAGGTGAATTTGTTAAATTCTCTTTACATATTATTATCTTATGTCACTTATACAAGCTTTTTCTTCATAATTTACTTTTTTTTATTGTTGGCACGTTTTTCATTTTGATATCTGTATTAAAAAATAAAAGACGTCTCTTTTAATTTCATGCTGATTTTATTTTACTAACATCACTTCTTACAGAATGATCTCAGTCCTGTCTGCTTTACATTCATTCCACAATCTCACTCTTTATTTCTCACTGACACATGAAAAGGCTTCATTGCTTTTATTAGATGATTTTTTAAACTTTAATAAAATCATTTTTATTTCAAAACATCACTTTAATATCTTAAGGTTAAATTTAGTTTCCAACCTATTTTTTTTATAATTTCATGTTCAATTACGCGACATTTTGTTTTCAATAGTGTCTCTTTTATTCCATTATGTAACTCTGATTTCATAACATGTTATTTCATAACGTCTCCTCTCATCTCTTTATATCATAACATCACGTCAGTGAAAGACGGAGGGCCGTTTTATTTATCTTTGTTTTTATTTTAATTTTCGTGACGGTGATGATGTCACAGTCCCTCGTCCCTCAGCCAATCACATATAAGATGACATCTCAGTAATAAATTGTATCAACTAGAGGCCTCACATGATGATTGTCATCTGTGTGTGAGGAGAAGGTGTTAATGTCTGCGCGCGGTTAATCCACAGTGACCTCAGGTAACAGGTGTCTCCAGGAGAACACCTGTCACAGTGTTTAGACAGCAAGGTGAGCCAATCACAGTTCACATGTTACCAGGTCACCTTTTGTTCAACATCACACAGTAGGCCTATATGACTATTATTATTATGACTGTGTGTGTGTGTGTGTGTGTGTGTGTGTGTAACTATGGAAGCTCCAACATGACATACATCCATACATTTATTTAACTCTGTAAAGTATTTTTTTCCAGAATTTTTTTGTCAGCATGCGGCTTCCGTATAGGAGACATAAGAGAAAATAACTTCTTATAACAACTTTTAACAACTTAAACACACACACACACACACACACACACACACACACCCACACACACACACACACACACACACACACACACACACACAGCCCCGCCCCCTCACCTCCGTCCCCGTACGTCTCCACGCCGTAGCCGTCCTGCAGTCCATTGCTCCAGGTGCCCTCGTACCTGGCCGGTGTGTTCAGGCTATGTCGGACCCCGTACCGGCCCTTGAAGCCGTGAGTCCACTCCCCCCGGTAAATCCATCTCCCTTTAGTCTCCACACCTAGTCCGTGCCTTTTCCCCTGCGCCCAGTAGCCCTGGAACAGGTTCCCGCTGGGCCAGGTGTAGACCCCCACCACCTCGAAGCCGTTGCACCAGGATCCGGAGTACTCCCCCTGGCCCTTGGGTCCGGTACACACTCCGTGTCCGTGGGCTTTACCGTCCTCCCAGCCCCCGCAGTACGTCCCCCCATCGTCAAAGTCGAACCGGCCGCCCGTCATTCAGACACGGAGGGTAGGAGCACCGCAGGGGGGGGGGACTGTAAGGTCCAGTGTGTGTGAGTGGGGGGGTGAACGGGAACAGCCGGGAGCAACCGGGATCATGAGAGAGCTGGGCCGGGAGGGGAGAGGAGAGAGGCGGCCGCCGGCTACACAGTCCTCCGCTGACTGATGAACACAGTCCGGCTGCTCTCTCTCCTCCTCCTCCTCCTCCTCCTCCTCAGTGAGGACGCAACAGGCAGCCGCTGACGTCAGTTGTCAATCATCACGATACAACAACGAGGTTCCGGGGCGGGCTTTTCAAAATAAAGAGAAGCGCTTTGACCAATATTATCGACTTATAATAAACAAATTCTGACTTTGATTCTGACTTAATGTGATCATGTTACTACATAGCCTAAGTTTCGACACACAAGAGTAACAGAATTATCAATAATACAGTACAATATATTATTATAACAGGCTGCAGTAAGCTGTATCTAGGGCACACCTTCTAAGGGGGTTTCTGTATTTTCACAATTTTCCACATTTTACAATAAGAGTAGGTATTAAAAAAATAATTTAAAAAAATATATTTTTTTCTTTTGGAAAGAATTGCATACATACGAAGGCATCAACTTCACTATTTCTATTCATAGAAGAAACACATGTCAAACGTTTTTAAGAAAATAATATGCATTTTAATCAGGTGTGTCAAAACCTTTGACCGATAGTGTTCATTAATTTAAAGATTAATAATAAAATACAATATCAAACATTATTCACCTATTTAAGATCCACATGTTCTGTTCTTCCAGAGAGGATGAGCTGTTAGATGAATGTAAACTATTATTAACTTTTTTACAAAACGTCACAGTGACTTGATGATATTCATCCTGCATTCATTCATGTGTAAAACATTTGCCTAGTTAATTTATACACTTGTTGTAAAGTGAACTAATAAAATCAATAACAGCTGTTCACGTTGATATTTAAGAGAGAAAGAGACGGGACAGACCTCTTTAAGTTAAAATGTTTTCATTGCACTGAATTTAAATCAATATCTAATTTTTGATTAATGCATGCTTTGTCAGAACAGTTTAGGAACCTGATTGTGCAGGTGTGTATTTAGGGTCTGTGTTTGTGTAGCATGTGTCTCACTAACAGAGTGAAAAGTTTTATGCCCCCTAGAGATGACTAAAATGGCCATAAAATCAAAAAATATATTATTTTTATGTCGGCTTTATCTGAACAGATATATGTCCCCGTGTCATTTAAAATATGGCTCATTTCATTTCTTAGAGGTAGGTCTATTATCTGCAACTTAAAAAGAAAACATAACTTATTCCAATTATTTTTTATGAACAGTATGTGTTCACGTGTTTTGCATGACAACAGTTTCTTGGTGTTTTTTTTAATAAAGAGTCCTCAGTTGACAAAAGGATTCCTAGAGAATCCATCACATCTGTGTCTAATTTGTCTATGAATTTAGAAACTTTCCTCACGTTATCTGACACTGCAAAGGTCATAATGAAATGAACAATGGATTCATGAGGTCATTATTTTGAATGTGATTCTTGATGATTTATCTGAATTGACATTGTTAGCAGGTTGAAATCCTGTCACAGTGGTGCCAGGCCATCAGCAAAACCAAGAGGCTGACATTGGACTTCAGTAGCGGGACAGCAAAGAGACAACCCCCCCCCCCCCCCCCCCCCCATTGAGGATAGTTGGGACACTAGGGCGTGTGTGCAGCTTCAAGAACTTGGGGATGAACATCTCTGAAGATATGACTTGGGTACAACACTGCCCACCCTCCAGGACATCTTCACAACAAGCGAAGGGCCAGCACAAACAGGATTGTGAATGAACCCCACCATCCCAGCAATGGACCGTTCACAGTGTGGCTACCCTCCGGCAGATGGCTACTACCAGTCAAGGCAAACGCAGAGAGACTCAGGAGAAGCTTCTTCACTCACACTGCATGTTAGGACTGTTAACTCTGCACCTCACAGGTTTAAACGTATACCTGATCCTCAAAATAACAACGTGGAACTGGGGTTGTGGAAACACACACAGAAACTACACACTTAATATTTCTAATTTCTTCCTCTCTGTATTTATTTTATTGTACTATATCTCAGTATCTTAAGGGTACTGATTGAGCGTGGGTACTGATTGAGTGTGGAACAGTAATTGCATTTAGCTGCCAACCTGCATGAGCATGCTGTGACAAATGTGAAAATCTTTTATAATTCTAAAAGCTTTTATTTTGAAATCAGAGATGCCCCTCAGGTTGTGCAGGTGTGTGTGACTGTGACCAGCTTCACAGACTGATGAATGTTCAACAGGTCCATGTCACTCTTCAGTTCACTGACAGAACAACGTACACACTGTTTCATTCTCAACAGATCTGACTGTGAACATGAACCTGTTTAAAAAGACAAACAAATACAAGCTACCAGAAGATAATATTTAAACTAAGATCAGACAATACATTCTGAAATAATAAAAAAATAGAGTTTAAAACTGTCACTGTTATTTATACTGTTTGAAACACACAACCGAACGTCATCATATGTGGTGCTGGTCTCACAGTCTGGCATGCTTACAGGTGTGACTGTGTGACTATGTGTGACTGTGTGTGTGTGTATCCCTGTGATTGACAGCCGAGCTGTTGAGGGAAACCCCGCCTCTCATATGGTGTCAGATGGTTCCTTATCAGCCTCTGAGGAATCAGCTGTTTAGTTTATGGATGAAGGGTGCTGCACAGTTTACAGACATTTAAAGTGATTTGATAATGAGTGTGGTCTTAAATGAAATTTCTGTTGCATGTCAGATTGAAGTAGTAAACAAAACAAAACACTGAAGACCTGTGTGTGTGTGTGTGTGTGTGTGTGTGTGTGTGTGTGTGTGTGTGTGTGTGTGTGTCTTCTGTATTCTTAATCCACACCGGATCAGATTAGAGGACCTCCTCCGGATAAAACCATCACAAGGACGCTCATTAACATGTCCTGTTAAAGAGCATTAAACCGTTTAAAGCCTCAGGACAGAGCACCACTTCCTGTGACTCACCTGTACACGCCAGCTTGGACTCACCTGCTGCTTCCAAACAACAGAATGAAGTCGTGACGTCACACTCAGACAGGTATGGCCTATGAAGAAAAGAACATGGTCAGCTGCACCTGGAACAACAAGGACATATTTTTTTAAAAGGAGGACTGATAATGCATTGTGAAACAGCGCCATCTCCTGGAGAAAAGATGAACAGCCCAGCCTGATGCTGCTGAGGTTTAACTTTTTAAGTCTCTCAGATTAGTTTTTTTTAAAATAAAGGTTCATCTATGACAAACTGAAGGTAACATTTATAAGTGGAGAGTAAATTATTATTTATTCAACAGAACAATTATTTAAATATTTATATTAAAAAACATTATTTTTTAAACTCACAAATAATTGTCAGTGCAAAACGCTCAACATTCAGGCAGCCACAGGTTCAAACAGAATTCAAGTATACAGGTGTATTACACAGTACAAAAAGTATTTCACAGCAGGTGATGTATATTATCAGTTTGTTTCCTTCCTATTGTAGTGTTTAAAAAATAGATTCAAATATTTTATCCCATTTTGGACCAATCTCTAAACTTGTGAAAAAGTCGATAATCAACAAATTAGTCCGTTTATTAGTAAGAATGAGATCATTTTATGCTTCAATCTGTTGCTGAGTAACCTGCTCATACTCAATGATTTATCTTAAATAGCATGCAATGGGAACTGTGCCATGTTATTACTTTTAATAATACTAAGGCCGCCTTTTTTTTATTTTGTAATGCAACATCTTTCTGGAAATTAAAACCATTCATTTATGGGTCTGACTTTTCCTACATGTGTGTGTCACGGGGCAACCCTGTTCCCTCTAAAGTAATACAAACACATGCATGTGCTGATGTTAAAACAGACACTTTTGAGTTAACATCAAGCCGGCTGAGAGGCCTGTGTTAAGATTAGCTTAGCATAACTAGCAACTAGTACTTTGTGAGAAAACTTAAGTATAAAACTCGGACAAATAATTTCAAACATTGTATTTTCAAGCAAAAGAAAACACACATGAACTATTTTTTACATTAAAACATTTTATTCATTGTTACACATAAACGATGTCACCTGTTGCCTTGCGTGCACTCTTTTTAATCAGGAACTATCAAACAGAGCTGCACCCTGCCTGTGGCTTATATCGGGGTGTGCCAAGTGGAAGGTGCCATGTTTAGTAGAGGTGGAGGGGTGTTTAGGTTGTTGAGATGAAATATGTTATTTAAATGGCTGTTTAAGTATTTATTCAACAGAACACGTATGTTGAAATGCTTTTAGCCTTATTGCAGATATTATGTGTTGTATGTAGAACAGATAATACTCTACTGGGAGAAAATTGAATTCCAACCCTTTTTGGTACATGCAAACTCCTACATAAGAGGAGGCTTGAAGGCCTACCAGGTTGTTGGAGGTTTGAGTTTCACAGTGTTGGAGTTTGATGACAGTAATTAAAGAGTGTTCAGAGCCCAGTCTCTTCTTTTCTTTGTCACTTTTTGGAATTTTGCTATTTTTTTCTTGGAATTATAACTTTTCATTTTTTTTCACCAGGCCTGCACTGTACATATTGCTGCACTTTATTTCCATGTTAGTCTGGTCTTCTGGAGTGCATTTCTTCAGGTCGTCTTCAGGAGGCTCTTCTTGGAGGAGGCTGGTTTCTCTCCCTCCCTCCGTCCCTCCCTAACATTATGAATGGTATGGTCTCTCATGGGTGCAGTGTTTCCTCTGTCTCTCCAGCTCTAAGACGACCTGAGGACCTTGTTGTGGCAACATCTGTATCTCACCTGAATTAGTGCACCTCACTTTACCACAGAACAAAATGATACATACCCAGAATTCACTGTTTAGAAATGAATACTAGTGCAATGAATTTTAGTGCAAGTAGGCTAAAATGCCATGTCCCCGGTCATGTTTGCTCAACTTTGGTTACAAAACTACGCCATAAATATCAAACAAATGCTATTTTCAATTATTGTTAAATTGCGTTATTTATAATATTTTTTTGTCACTTTTAAGATTAGATTAGATTTTTAATGCATGAAATCTTTAAAAGATGTTGTGTCCCTGAAATGACTCACTGTGACTGACAAAAACT